GAAGGTGTAGGGAGATGACCGGTTGCCCACTGGTCAGTCTCCTCAACGCTCTCCTCTGCCCCTGGCTCCATCCTTCCTTCGTCCTGTGTCAAGCTTGTATTGAGACCAGTGAGTTAAGGACCATTTTGTGTGAGCAAATCGTGAACATTTATGTTCACCCGTTGTGTTTTCCGTCCGATTGTTTGTATGATTTACTAGTTTAGTTTAGTTCATTTATTATGCACCCCATACCCATCTTGTGGGCGGTAGTGGAAAGGGTTACAGAGGCACATAATGGGCTCAGGGACTGAACCCCACAATTCATTTAGCTAAGCAAGTTACAGTCTTGATGAGCTAGTTACAAAATTCAATATAAGTCGTCACATCAACAATGGGTTCGAGATCGACAAGTAGTTTCTAAATTAAGCAACTGACATGTGGAGAGTTAGTGTCACAATTGATATGTTTGTCCTGAACACCGCCCCCCATCCAGTGGGTAGCGGTGGATAGGTTACAATCACTCAGTTACTACTTACAGTTAGCAAACTGGGGATATTTGGCTAAAATTTCTGGCTATTATTATTAGTAAGGCCGCCACAAGCACTTACTTATCAGTTGGTATATTAAGTAGTTTTGAGCAGGACTAACGTTGTTGTTGTTTTAGATTTAGCTACTCAGAACGAAGTGTCCATGTAGCACGGGCTATGGTGAGCCCGTAAAAAGTATGATTTATACTATATATATATATATATATATATATATATATATATATATATATATATATATATATATATATATGTCGTACCTAGTAGCCAGAACGCACTTCTCAGCCTACTATGCAAGGCCCGATTTGCCCAATAAGCCAAGTTTTCATAAATTAATATATTTTCTCTAATTTTTTTCTTATGAAATGATAAAACTACCAATTTCATTATGTATGAGGTCAATTTTTTTATTGGAGTTAAAATTAACGTAGATATATGACCGAACCTAACCAACCCTACCTAACCTAACCTAACTTATCTTTATAGGTTAGGTTAGGTAGCCGAAAAAGTTAGGTTAGGTAGTCGAAAAACAATTAATTCATGAAAACTTGGCTTATTAGGCAAATCGGGCCCTGCATAGTAGGCTGAGAAGTGCGTTCTGGCTATTAGGTACGACATATATATATATATATATATATATATATATATATATATATATATATATATATATATATATATATATATTATATATATTATATATATATGTCTCATTGAATATGACCGCATATTCTGTATTTACTATTTTCTGGTTTAGGGCTTCTATCCCTCTATTTTCTTAGCATCAGGGCTTAGCTGAAAGAGGAGTTCTCCAAAACTCATTTTCGTAATTTTAAGGTGAAGAAAAGAAGTGAATTACTATAGAATGTATTACACTTATTTATACAATTTGCACGTTTCGAACCTCCATGGTTCATTCTCAAGTGAAAAGAAATTTCAGGTTTGGTTGATTTTATACCCGCACTGGGTCAGGTGATAAGACAATAAAGGTGAAAACATGGGGGATACATAAGAACATAAGAATAGAGGTAACTGCGGAAGGCCTTTTGGCCCATACGAGGCAGCTGCTATCTACATACAAAGATTAATCAAGTGTAATTGGCCTGTTATATTGAACGGTGTCTTCTGTGTTGGCATCGTTATGTTCTGGTCTTGTCCTTACTCTCATGGTGGGTAGAGTAAATAGTTCCGTGATTTAGAAATCACGGTGATTTAGATGATTAAGTCTGACTCCTTACAGGAACATGATTTCCTTACACCATATTCTGTCAGCTCCCCCAATGACCTTATGCCCAGGATTCACGAAGCATTTACGCAGCCACTTACGAAACCTGAACATCTTTCAACAGTCTTGGCGACTTTGTTTACATTTATTAAGTACTTTATAAACTTCCAAACCACAATCCAATGTTTTTTATGTTATAAACAACCTCGTAGAACTTCACAGTTCACATTCTGTTTAACAAATAAAAACAAAGCCGCCATTGTCGAGGAAAGATATACTGGTTTCGTAAGTAGTCCCGTAAATGCTTCATGAATCCCCGTCTAGTAAATTTGAGTGTATAGATGTTCTCAACGTGGAATATGATTCGGTGGATGACGTCACCTAAAATAAGAAATTAAGAGACAGCTGCCAGTGAGACGCGTGTAGAGCAGGTGTGGAGCGATGAGGATGGATGTGAGGTGAGGAGGGCACGTGTCGCATGCAAGTGACAGGTGTAGCAAGCTGAGGACAGGTGTGGCATGCGGTGAAAGGGACGTCGAGCTGAAAACGTGTGGCGGAGGGAAGGTGTAAAGAGCGGGAAACAGGTGTGACAAACGGAAGGCAAGTGTGAAGCGCAGACGACAGGTGTGACGCACAGCCGACAAGTGCTTTACATAGATCATACCCAGCTTAACAGATGTTGACACTGCGTAAGGCCCAAGGTCAGCCGCCGGTCACGACCAGCTGCCACAGACAACAGGACGGTAGTGGCCGACGTCCTCGTGTAATCCCTCACGCTATTCTCAGTCAGTAATCCCGGCCCGTCTTCTCAACCACACACAGTCACTGCTGCTTCTTACTAGTCACACTAATACACCACACAGATAAAAGGTACTGCGACTGATACACAAGTACGGTACACAGATAAAAGGTACTGCGACTGATACACAAGTACGGTACACAGATAAAAGGTACTGCGACTGATACACAAGTACGGTACACAGATAAAAGGTACTGCGACTGATACACAAGTACGGTACACAGATAAAAGGTACTGCGACTGATACACAAGTACGGTACACAGATAAAAGGAACTGCGACTGACAAACAAGTACGGTACACAGATAAAAGGTACTGCGACTGATACACAAGTACGGTACACAGATAAAAGGTACCTCTATGCAGGTAATGAGTCACAATAACGTGGCTAAAGTATGTTGACCAGACCACACACTAGAAGGTGAAGGGACGACGACGTTTCGGTCCGTCCTGGACCAGTCTCAAGTCCTTCACCTTCTAGTGTGTGGTCTGGTCAACAAGGTACCTCTACTACCAATATAAGGCACGGATGGAAAACTCTCGAGACTGTGGTATCTTTGACCTTATCGAGAACCTTTCCTCCAGGTCTTTGGTCATGATTTTGAAGCACACAATCTTACACCATAGCCTGGTTGATACACCAGGTCACTAATGCCTCCACCAGCACTAGTGACCTAGATTGGCTGTTTTTCGCCTTTTTTAATTGGTGACGTTTGATTTTTCATGTGGATTAAATTCAATTCTCTTTTGCCTTGTGGAGGGGGTTGATCCTCTCGTTTCTTTCGTTTATTAAACTACTGCAGAATGGACTGCAATTTTAGATCATGCAACACAATTGTGTTTGCCCGGCAACACAGTGGACATCAGTTCACTTGCAGACAGTAAGTCACATTACCGTTGCTGAAAATCAGACACCTAACCAACAAATGTAATAATAAAAGAACGACGTTTCGGTCCGTACTGGAGCAGTATCAGTTACTAATTACCAAGTCATAATTACGACTTGATAATGGGCCAGGACGGACCGAAAAGTTGTCACTTTCATTATTTTCAGATTTGTGGAATGTGGCATAAATTCACGTGACCGAACTGAGCGAAGGATAACATAGTTATCCCAGGAATTAGAAACCTTCCATGTGAAGAATGATTTAGAATGGCGAAGAGTTAAAAGTGGCATGATTGAAGTGTACAAGCACAAGAAAGGGCATAACAAAGAAGATATTAATAAGGTATTAAATATATCAACGCATAATAGAACACGAAACAATGGATATATACTGGATAAGTTTAAATTTAGGAATGACCTACATAAATACTGGTCGGAAACAGGGCTGCTGAGTTATGGAACAGATTACCGGATAACATAATACAATCGATGTGAGATCACGTGATTGCTTCAAGCGTAGGTTAGACATATATATATATATATATATATATATATATATATATATATATATATATATATATATATATATATATATATATATATATATATATATATATATATAAGCCAAGTTTTCCTGAATTAATATATTTTCTCTATTTTTTTCTTATGAAATGATAAAGCTACCCATTTCATTATGTATGAGGTCAATTTTTTTATTGGAGTTAAAATTAACGTAGATATATGACCAAACCTAACCAACCCTACCTAACCTATCTTTAGAGGTTAGGTTAGGTGAGGTAGCCGAAAAAGTTAGGTTAGGTTAGGTTAGGTAGGTTAGGTTGTCGAAAAACAATTAATTCAGGAAAACTTGGCTTATTAGGCAAATCGGGCCTTGCATAGTAGGCATAAAAGTGCGTTCTGGCTACTAGGTACGACATATATATATATATATATATATATATATATATATATATATATATATATATATATATATATATATATATATATATATGCACAAGTTTTATATTTATAGGACCTGCCTCGTATATGTCAACAGGCCTTTTACAGTTTCCTTAATACTTATATTCTTATATTTTCTTTGCACATTCAAATGAGCAATTTTGCCAGTCGTGAATAATTCCCGTTGTTAAATGCAGGAGGATTTTCAAGGTCCTTATTGTGCAGCTAATAACTTTTCGCAGGATGCAACCCCACAACAGTTACCTAACTCATGGATACATATTTAATGGCAAGTGAACAGTCCATGCGATGAAAGGAAACCTGCCAAACCGTTTCTGCCCTGCCCAGAAATTGAACCAGGGTCCCTCACTTGTGAGATGAGAACGTAGACTCCTGTGCTACCTAAATGACTGGGCACATTTCCTCTCACCTGATGCGTCTGTTCACCTAGCACTAAAATTGGTACCTAGGAGTTAGGCAAGAGTTGTGGCTTGCATCCTGGGGAAGGTCAGTAGATCGACCTGGCGGGAAACTTGACACAACCCTAATGATGAGCTTCCTGTCCCCCGACGAATGGAATTATTATTATACCTGTGTGTTGCACAGTTGACAATGGCGAGGGATGAGAGCTACGGGATGGTTCGACCACCTTTGGCGAAGACCAGGAAGCAGGACGAGGAGCCTCTTCGCCCCGACGGCATGGCTCACGACCTTATCTACTCCATAGAGGACGTCCCGCCCTGGTACCTGTGTCTGGTGTATGGCTTCCAGGTGAGTCTACCCCCCCCCCCCCCCTTCCCCATGCTACCAGCATCTGGTTTACAACATCCAGGTGAGTCTCCCCCTGCTACCAGTATCTGGTTTACAACTTCCAGGTGAGTCTCCCCCTGCTACCAGTATCTGGTTTACAACTTCCAGGTGAGTCTCCCCCTGCTACCAGTATCTGGTTTACAACTTCCAGGTGAGTCTCCCCCTGCTACCAGTATCTGGTTTACAACTTCCAGGTGAGTCTCCCCCTGCTACCAGTATCTGGTTTACAACTTCCAGGTGAGCACCTTCCTGGAACTATTCTCTTGTGTTCTGGGTTCCTGATGAATCCCTTTGGGAAGTGTTGAGTAAGGACGTCAGGGATCATTCAAGGATTCAAGGACAGGGGCCTGACAGTTGAGTGGACAGCGCTTCGTATTCGTAGTCCTGAGGCTCAGGGTTTGATTCCCTGTGGAGGCAAAAACAAATGGGCAGAGTTTCTTTCAACCTGATACGTCTGTTCACCTAGCAATAAATAGGTACCTGGGAGTTAGACAGCTGCTACGGGTTGCTTCCTGGGTGTGTGTAACAAAAAGGAGGCCTGGTCGAGGACCGGGCCGCGGGGACGCTAAGCCCCAAAATCATCTCAAAATAACCTCAAGATAATCTTATATAGCACACTGGTCTACGTCCTCGGCTTATAACTGAGGGATCCGAGTTCAATTCCCGGGTGGGAAAAACGGTTGGGCACGTTTCCTTTCACTTGGTGCCGCTGTTCATCAAGCAGTAAATTAGGTACCCGGGAGTTAGGCAACTGTTGTGGGTTGCATCCTGGGCAAGATCAGTAGATGGCCTAGGGAAGGTTTTTTTTCGGGGGGGGGGGGAACCATGATAAGCCTAAATATAGGCTGTCCATCCCCGACAACGGGAATTATTACAATTTATAAATTAATACACTAGACTGTCGCAAATAAATTTATATCTGCTGGATATATTAGTGAGACAAAACGTTTTCAGATTAAAATGTCGAAGTCAATTATGAGGCTTCGCCCGCCACCCGCCCCATCCTTTTTAGATTGATTTTGTAATAATTAATTATTATTAACTATGTGGAAAATAGTATATATATTTACGTAATGGGCAATGATATAGTAGAATCTGGTATTATTCACGTTAGAGTCCGGAACTAATAAAGCTAAAAACCAAACTTCAATATTCTTAGGCCTAACATAGCATATATGTACTATATTAGATCTCAGAGAGCGTGTATTAGGCCTAGAATGTTTAGGTTTGGTTATACTAGCAACAAACAAAAGGTTTGTCCTTGTCTTTTTCCAGTTTGTCCAAATTTGTCCAAATTTACGTTTAAATTTTAAACGGGACAGTAAATATCTATTGATCTGTCTTGACATTACAAGACATTATATATATATATATATATATATATATATATATATATATATATATATATATATATATATATATATATATATATATATATATATATATATGTCGTACCTAGTAGCCAGAACGCACTTCTCGGCCTACTATGCAAGGCCCGATTTGCCTAATAAGCCGAGTTTTCCTGAATTAATATATTTTCTCAAATTTTTTTCTTATGAAATGATAAAGTTTCCCATTTCATTATGTATGAGGTCAATTATTTTTTATTGGAGTTAAAATCAACGTAGATATATGACCGAACCTAACCAACCCTACCTAACCTAACCTAACCTAACCTAACCTAACCTAACCTATCTTTATAGGTTAGGTTAGGTTAGGTAGCCGAAAAAGTTAGGTTAGGTTAGGGTAGGTAGGTTAGGTAGTAGAAAAACAATTAATTCATTAAAACTTGGCTTATTAGGCAAATCGGGTCTTGCATAGTAGGCTGAGAAGTGCGTTCTGGCTACTAGGTACGACATATATATATATATATATATATATATATATATATATATATATATATATATATATATATATATATATATATATATATATAATGTTTTTTCTTTGTTTTAAAATATACAAATTATTACCAAGTAAAGGAATAAAGGAATAAGTAAATAAAAAGCCCTAACCGCACTCACCTCATTAAAGTACATGAAATAACAGACAAATAGAAACAGAATTAATAACATAAAGGACAGGTAATTGAACAAAACTATTCTATTTATTTATTTATATACAGGAAGAAACATTGAACCGAGAGTACATAACATTGGTGTTCTTACATCTTACAGAACCACTAACAAGCATTCAGGCAGACTAAATACAGACCAACACTAAACATTACACTAAACATTAACAAGACATTAAATTCATGTAATGTCTACCTCCAAAATACAGAATAGTAATAATAAAATAACTAGGAAACACCATCACTCATAATACACACAACACGCACACGCATTGAAGAAACATCATGGAAATTGAATAAAGACATAACCTTTTGTATTAAATAGCAAAACTAACACAAGAACAAGTAAATATATAACAACCCAAGCAGTCAAGCGCATGAACAACAGTAATATATATATATATACAGGCACGCCTGACAGGCACGCCTGAAAGGCACGCCTGACAAGCACCCAAGCACACACACACACTATCTCATCTCTGCACGAAACACTATGCGTGTTAGTAACGTAACGCTGTAATGAGGAACACCAATGTTATGTACTCTCACAAACCCAATGTACTTCTTGTAAGAAAAGAAATAAATAAACAAGTAAGCAGATAATGAACAAATCCACAAGGTTATTGTAGATTTAATCTGGGATCATCCTGGACGTAAGTTCGAGTCCTCATCACGGCCCTTGTGGATTTGTTCATTTGATGTATCACGCTATTGTGATTTCTGTGTGTAATAAGTAGATCAATATATAAATTTGGTAAACAAACGGCAGGTGTGCCAAGCTGTTATAAAGCGGTGGGTAAAATAGAGTTAAATCATGTTATCTAAATCCTTGTGCTGCTCTGAGGCTGCCCCAGTAATAATTAGTGTTTACAACTGCATGACCTCAGGTAGAGTTAAGCAAGACCCGGCTCCATGGGACCATTAAAACCTGCAGTTGGAGATGATTAGCACCAACCCACAGATTGGGGTGCAATAGAAAGATGCATAACGATTACAATACTTTAGTATTAAGTATTAGTCATTAAAGTTTTTCCTGCCCGAAACGTTTTGCGTAATAGTGGCTTTAGGCATTGTATGTACTAGCTCTATCTATAAATCTATCAACTTATGTAAAATCTCTTGTATGTATGTACCTTACCTGAATAAACATTTTATTTATTTTTTATTTTACTTTATAATTTAATGACCACCACCCTGACTAAACCCCTTGCACTATCTAATCTACATTTACTCAACTTTCAATACTCCATATAGGCAGGAGTGTGAACTACAAAGGCAAGACTATAGGTAGATCTGTTGATCCCTGAAGGAGACCAACGTTTCCCCATAAACTGCCGTATACATTAATCCTCTCTCTGGCCCTAGCAATATATACACAATAAAAGTTTGCTGGGGTCAGAGTTACATTTTAAATCATTAATGATAAATTGAGACTGGTGGCCGGCAATTAATTCAGAACACTCACGAGCCTCTTTGTCAGTGTCAGTTTTATCTGATTTAGGCAACCTGGAAAGTGCATCAGTTGTGACATTCAGTCTTCCTGATAAGTGGTGCATATTGATATTTAAGTGCTGTAAACACAATGCCCACCTCAAAATTATCTTGTTTTTCTGTTTCATCTGTTTGATAAAGACTAGTGCGTTACGACTCAACTATTTTAGCAGCAAGGCAAATTGCCAGTTTTAGTTCTTGGTAACGAACCAACACAATCCGTCACATTGTGAAAAAATGGTTCCTCTGGCACTGCTATTGGCCTTAAGGGAGCCTTGGCAGGTATCAGGTTCGGGTTCCCAACAGTTTAACAGGTAACATCGGCTACAAAATCTTACCACATCACCTCTCATTTTGGCCCAATAAAAATACTTGAAAATTTTATTATAAATTATGGAAACACCTTCATTGATGACGTCTCCTCGTGGGATCATGATGAGCGACTGACAGCACCTCCTTGTAAACCTTAGGTAATACCAACTGGGATACTACCTCCTAATCATTTGATATTTATGGGGGTCGCCCTTTTATCATCATAAACGATCCTTGTAGTAGTAGTAACCTGCTGCTAAATCTTCACTCTCACCCTGAGCCAGAGCTAAATCATGGTACTGTACTCTTCCTGGACAAAATGAGTATATGGGGCACCACTTGGTAAATGGAATTTAATGTGAATACTTGCCATGTTATAGAATGTGGAATTGGAGAAAATAGACAACAGTCTACAAATTATGTGAAAAAGTTTAACAAATTTTGATAATAAAAGAAATCTAGGGATGGTTTTAGATAGGAAACTATCACCCGACGACCACATAAAGAACATCGTGCGTGGAGCCTATGCTATGCTTTCCAATTGCTTTTAAATAATGGATGGTGAAATACTAAAGAATTATTTCCCGATCTTTGTGAGACCAAAGCTGGAATATGCAGCGGTTGTGTGGTGCCCATATCTTAAGAAGCACATCAACAAGCTGGAAAAGGTGCAAGGACATGCAACTAAATGGCTCCCAGAACTAAAGGACAAGAGCTACGAGGAGAGGTTATATGCCATTAAATATGCCAAAACTAGAAGATAGAAGAAAAAGAGGCGATATGATCACTACGTACAAAATAGTAAAGGGAATCGATAAAATTGATAGTGAAGAATTCCTGAGACCTGCTCAAAGTATTCTCACCCTGGTTCAGTACAACGTGTTCATACATATATAGACACATCACAAACAATAAACATATTACCGAACATTCTGAGTGATGAACATATACATTTCTTCCTTTACACATGCAGTATGTTCTCCTGCCCGAAACGCTGCGCGTGCTAGTGGCTTTACAAGACTGTAATTACCATATTTGTATCCTCACATTCCTTATGTACATTCTTGTATATGCATAAATAAATAAATAAATAAATAAATAAATAAATAAATAAATAAATGTTACCAGACGGACACACAAATACTTTTATGACTAGGTATATAGACAATTTGCAATAGACATTCAGACAATTCAACGAAAGGTAACAATCTTGGTACAAAATTCTTATATCTCTTCAGAATATCATCAACCTTTCCGTTGTGACACATCCAGGCTATTTGTTCAGGAACAGTCCTTATCTGTGTTTCTATATACATTAATCAACGGACAATCAAGAACATAATGGGTGAGGGTGTGAGACCTTAACATACCACATAGTTTACGCTTCGTTTAATTATCATTAATTCCATATTCCCAGTAATATTTGTACCCAAGCCTGAGCCGCATGTGCACACAATCACTCCAAGCATTTCTCCTTTTACCATAAGTAAAATGTTGATGTTCTGACTCACACACATGTAGTGCTGCATGGTTTGGCTTCCCTCATACCTTATTCCTCTCCTCGCCACTAATACCTGTGCCTGAATATTTCTGATTTGGCTTCTTATTTGTCTCGTTGTTGTGACGTTAATGTGAAAAAATAGAGCAATGGCTATTCTGGCTGGTGTTGTGCCAGTCACATTAAATAAAAAAAGTAAAATAAAGTAAAGACTGCTGGTGACGTTTTTACTGTGAGAGCTGCGGGTAAAACAAAGAGAAGAAACATTTAAAATATTTAATATAACAAAATTACTTTAATAACAAACAAAACAAAGTCCCTTTTCAACTTGACGATAACACAATATAAAATATAAAAGAAACATAAACATGTGACAGTTGCGGTCATGGCAAAAGAGATGCGAAACAATACAATATGCAAAAGCTGCACGTGAACATTTATTGATTAAATGATCATTTATTGATTGAACATTAATTTATTGATTTTTTATTCATGTATATATACAAGAGTTCTTACATTCTTGTACAGCTAAATTTTTTTTATTTACACATAAAAGAAAATTTATGACTGCTAACTTGAACATGGTCACAGCTTGGACGAGCATAGTCTGGGTCCGAAACGTTATGCTTATTAGTGGCTTTTTCGCAGGAATAACCCCCCCCCACAAAAAAAAAAATATCCAGTAGCAAGCATAGCGTGTCGGACAAAGCCAGCACTGACCCGTCCTCAGACTATGCTCGTTCAAGCTGTGACCGTCTTCAAGTTAGCAGTCATAAATTTTCTTTTATGTGTAAATAATAACATTTTTCTCAAATATAATAGTTACAAAAATTATTATCAAAATAGGAGAATGAGTTGAAATAAAACACCTCAATTCATAATGTATGATTTGTTCCTACACCATGAGGCTAAACTATATGGGTTATACAAGACAACGTCGATGTATCACTTGTATCGGTCCAGTCACAATGTCTATCACAATTTTTCCTGAGGATGCTTCCAGAAAACCCCGTGTGTATACAGTACAAAAAAATTGCAATAAAATGTTTGCAGAATGATAATTTTAAGGTGACTTATAATCCGTATTATGGTGTTTACAGCACTATTTAGCCATGATAGGCGGCACCATCTCCAAGCCCATCATCCTGGCTTCGTTCTTGTGTCTGGAGGAGCACAACCCCGCGCGGGGCGCCCTCGTCTCCACCATCATCTTCATGTCCGGAGTCATCACCCTCCTCCAGTCCACCATCGGGGTCAGGTAAGCTCATCAAATTTTAATAACTTTTTAAAATCAAGAAATGTCATAACATATATATAGTATATGTTATCCCTTAGGCTGCACTTCACGCCCGTGAACGATAGTGATATAAATTAGGTATATAGTGTGGATAACGTCCATAAGCTCTCTCCATCTGGATTACTAGAAATAATGTCATGTAAGGTATGGTCCAGAGGCCTCCAACCGACAGAGGTCTCTTAGTTCATAGTAGCCTATTATGAAAAAGTAGCCAGTCTCAGTGCTTGCAGAAGAACTATGAGGATCTTATGTTAGTCAACTTCCATGCCCAGCACCCCGTAGATTCCTGGCCCCAGTACTTTAGCAAACTAAATACTTATGGATTATTCTATGATATTGATTATGTTAGTATTCATAATTGTTTTATGTGCAAATAAAACTATTTTCTCAAATATAAATTGTATATAATTATATATTTTAGTTTTTCAAATAGGCTATACATTCACCTGCACTTTACAATACCTACACGTGAACCCTACACTATCTATAGTACACATGAGCCCCACACTACCTACAGTATACGTAAACCTCACACTACCTACATCCTATACACTACCTGCACGTGAACCTCACACTACCTACACCCTGTACACTACCTACACGTGAACCTCACACTACATACACCCTATACACTACCTGCACGTGAACCTCACACTACCTACACCCTGTACACTACCTACACGTGAACCTCACACTACATACACCCTATACACTACCTGCACGTGAACCTCACACTACCTACACCCTGTACACTACCTGCACGTGAACCTCACACTACATACACCCTATACACTACCTGCACGTGAACCTCACACTACCTACACCCTGTACACTACCTGCACGTAAAGCGCACGTGCCCTGTGCTTGATTTAGACGTGCTGTGCGGATTGCAGGCTGCCCATCATCCAGGGCGGGAACTTCGCCTACGTGGTGCCGACGGTAGTGTTGCTGACGACGAGCTATGAGCCTTGTAGCGCCCTGCCGCTGGCCAACTTCACCTCCACGGAGAGGGAGGAGCTGTGGCAGGTCCGCATGAGGGACATCCAGGGCGCTATTACCCTCTCCGCCTTGTTTCAAGTCATAATTGGATTCTCAGGTGAGCAATTCAGCGGAAATTTTAGAGAATTATTGCTTTCCTGGCTTAACTCTTTTGTTGATGTTCGCGCTCTTGATCTTTTTCGTTTAAGTTTAGGCTGCAACGTATGATCTTACACGAAAACAAACATGTCTTTAATTAATATCCCAAGAATGCGACCTAAACAAAGCAGAAACGCTTTGCGAACGAAGAGTCCTAAACTGTGAAATAACCTCCCTAAAGAGATTAACAAATTGTACTTCTGTTGTGCGGTGTAAAAGAAAAATTCAGAGCTACGTTGTTCAATTTTTGTAAACACTTTTCCTAATCTTTTCTCATCATACAAGTCAACCTGTGTTTCGCTGTTTTTGCTGTTACCTCATATTTGCTGTTACTAAATACACTATTGCTGTTGTTTGTTCCTATATACTGTATTAAAGCATTGTATGTTATTTTTGTTATTATCATCTTTAATTTGTTTTATCTTTATATGTACTGTTAAAGCAGCTGTTGTTTATAAATGTCTCTTGTTTAATTGTCAATTATTTTAAAAACCTTCAACAATTCAATTATGTTCCTATATATCCCTTAATTTTAAGTATTCTCTTAAATTGTAAGTATTCTCTAGGATAGTATTTAATGTCTACCTCATCAAACTTTTATCAACCCAACTCTTTTATCTTTAGTTATGACTGAAGCACTTCAAGTTCAAGTTCAAGTATGTTTATTGAGACAAGAAAAAAATACATCTCAAAGGGATAGAGTAGCTTAGGCTATTTCTACCCCCCTCTACTTTAAGTCCCTCAAGGGGCGCACAAATTCAGTGAGTACAGATACACAAATCACAATACAACATTTAACATTGCATATTAATATAGTAAGTGTTACAATCATTGGGGCAAAATTCTTGTAGTTCCTAAGTATTCTGTCTATCATATCATTATCACACATCCAAACAATTTGAAGTGGTACACTACTTATTTCCTTATTTCTATGGTTATCCATAATTTGACACTTTAATACATAATGGTCTTCCAAGTTCAAGTAGGTTTATTGAGACAAGTTAAAAAAAAAAAAAAAAAAAAAAAAAAAAAAAAAAAAAATCAAAGATTAGCTTAGGCTATTTCTACCCCGTCCCATACTTCAAGTCCCTCAGAGGGCGCACAAATTCAGTGAGTACAAATACAAGAATCCCATGTAACATATCAGGTTAATATAGTACTATCTAAGAGTATAATAGTGTACATCCACCGCACTAGATTTTAACCCATTAACGCTCCAAGATAATATTCTCACTCTACTTTCATCCATGATTTAATAAAACTACCTTTGCCCTGTCTGTCACATTCCATGAGATACGAGATTTTCTCAGACAGACTCTCCCAACACTGTAACATTTCTGCTTTCTCCTCATTTGCACAACAGCTACTAGCATTAAAGGTGATCTTATTCATATCTAATTTCTTTCTTATTTCTCTATACCGTTTTACTTTAACCTTTGTTTCAACATTTTTCACTACAGAAGGTTGAACGCTAACACTACTAGAAAGTTCATTTTCCTGACTATCCTCTATCATCAATACGTCATGTTCTTCCTTACTTTCTTCAACGCACATTTCACGTCCTGTTTCACTTTCCACTTCACGTCCTATTTCACTTTCCATTTCACGTCCTGTTTGACTTTCCATTTCACGTCCTGTTTCACTTTCCATTTCACGTCCTGTTTCACTTTCCATTTCACGTCCTGTTTGGCTTTTCATTTCACGTCCTGTTTGGCTTTCCATTTCACGTCCTGTTTGGCTTTCCATTTCACGTCCTGTTTGGCTTTCCATTTCACGTCCTGTTTCACTTTCCATTTCACGTCCTGTTTCACTTTCCATTTCACGTCCTGTTTCACTTTCCACTTCACGTCCTGTTTCACCACCATCTTCACCCCGTCTACCCCCCATAGTTAATTTTTCTAATGCCTCAATCCTCTTTTCTAGTTTTTTTAGATATTCCAATATTTGAGTACCAACCTCAGAGTTCACTATATTGACCTGAACCTTGTTTCCACAAGGTTTAATTTTTTCAGCTGCATTTCCTACTTTCCCTAGGCTCGCCTTAATTGTCTCTGTTCCTTTCTCCCACACATTGTTCATAGGCGCTGTCATTGGCTTCCAACTGTTTCCTCCATGTTCCTGCTGCACAATCTTTCCTTCCTTCGAGGATACATCTATCCTGCTTGTAGCACCCGTCCTCGAGTCTCTCAGATGAGGCTTCATGCGACATAGATAGGAACCAGCATTGTGGCTTCCTCGACAATTGCAACAAGATGGGACGATTTTTTCACCGTTTTTAATCTTGACTCTACACTCTCGAGAGTCGTGTTTCTTACCACAGTACCGACACCTGGAGTCAAACCGGCATTTCCAAGCCATATGTCCCCAACGAGAACACTTCATGCATAATATGGGCTCCTCAATGTATTTTACAACTTTCCTGTAGCCTAGTCCTTGCACAAAAATTCTTTCTGGAGCCTCACCCTTTACCAAGGCAACAACCTGGCTTTGTTTTTCACCACGAACACTGTTCCTCTTTGCCCAAACAACACTATCATTGTTGAGCAATAGATAATCAGGATCCAAATAAGTTGGATACTTAAACACTATGACCTTGGTGTACATCATACCTTTTTCCGGAGTAACCATCACAATATTCTCAAACCCATCCTTCGTTAGGTGTTCCACGGCCTCTTCTGTCCCAACTGTTATATAGGGCCGGTGAAGACCCTCCTTGAATAGTGGTTCATATTCAAAAAACTCCTTAGCCAAACGAACCGTCCACTCCAGCTTTTGATGGAAATTCAGTTGACATGCTGTAGGGAACAACAGCCTCTTCCTTTCATTAGTCTGCATCTCCCGCGTCCTGCTGAGCATGTCTTCATTTTTTGGTCTCTTTGTTATTTCCTCCTCACTGTCTTCGTCTCGCTGTCTTTGAATATTTCTCCGTTTATATCTGTTTACTACTGCTTGATACGGCCTAGTATCATCCTGTCTGCCATCCCCACTGTCACACTCTCCAGGCCCAGTACAGGATCTTCCATCACCTAGGCAGACCGCCTCAGCCATTTCCTCGATACACAAAGGCACTGTATCACTGCAACAGTCGAGAACAAATTCACAACATCTAGCTGCAGCAGCCACGTGCAAACACGAAGATGCGGAGCAACACGTCCTCCTCGCATCATGCAGCAGACCGCACTGACTGAAGCACTTACTGCGTATTGGTGGCTTTATGACATGTATCTCTCTTACCTATGTGTCTCATGTATCATATGTATGTACCTGTCTATCCTATGTATCGCTGTTCATGTATCATATGTATGTACATTTGTGTGTATCAATTATTATTATTATTATTATTATTATTATTATTATTATTATTATTATTATTATTATTATTATTATTATTATTATTATTATGTTTGTGAGTGTAGATAAAGTGTGTTGCCACATTCCACCGTCAGAGGTCTCTGCAGCAACGTATCCTCAGGGAGGAGATCCGCTGGAGGGAATGGATTGGAGACTAGTACATAAATTGTGCTATTATCTAATCTCTATCCACGATTAGGTTATTGTAGTCAGCAGTCTACGTGGCGCAGTGGTAAGACACTCTCCCGGCGCTTCGCGAGCGCTTTGGCTTGGGTTCGTATCCTGGTCGGGAAGGATTGATATAGGCGCCAATCCTTAACTGTATCCCTCAGTTCACCCAGCAGTGAATGGGCTGTTAAACGATTTGGCGGATCGTATTTCAGGGAAAATTAAGATTAAGGACCTGCCCGAAACGCTATGCGTGCAATAGTGGCCTCACAAGAATGTAAGAACATTTATATATACAGTATCTACTTGATTTAACGACCTATATGGGACTGTAACCAGGTCGTTAAATATGGAGGTTTAAAAATGACGGTAACTGTTTAGTCATATTTGGGAAAGCAACAAGATGGATAGTGGGTGGGCTGGCTGGTTAACTGGCTAGTAGGTTCAGGCAAGTACTCACTTAGTTGTCCTTTCGGAGGTTGAGCTTTGGCTCTTTGGTCCCGACTCTCAATTGTCAATCAACTGGTGTACAGATTCTGGAGCCTATTGAACTCTATCATATCTATATTTGAAACTGTGTATGGAGTCAGCCTCCACCACATCACTTCCTAAGTGGACTGGATGGATGGATGGCTGGGTGGCAGGCAGACAGGAGTGGGGGTGGGCAGGTGGACTGGCTGGCTAGTGGGCAAGCAGGGTTGGTGGATGGATTGGTGGCTGACTGGTGGGTGGGTGTGTAGGTGGATGGGCAGGAGGGGTTGATGTGTGGGTGACTGGCGGGCAGGCAGGCAAGGTTAGCAGGTGGGAGGGTGGGTGGATGTTTTGGTGGTTGGCTGATTGGCGGGCTGGCTGAATGGGCGGGGTGGATGGGTAGGTGGCTGGCTGGAAGGCGGGTGGGGTGGGTAGATGCTTGGACAGGCAGGCTGGCTTACTGGTTAGGTGAGTGAGCGGGCGGGCTGGGTGGATGGATGAATTGGTGGCTGACTAACGGTTCAGATTATCGGCCACCTTCCTACCAGCTGGTGGCCTATGAGGCAGACTGTCCTACCTGACATCGTTATTTATATATTTATTTATATACTGTATAAATAAATACAAATTAATAACAATAAGAGTGTGACACGGTACAGGTATGGTGGGCGTACTGTTACGCTGGATCACGCCGCTGACGGTGGTGCCGACGGTGACGCTGGTGGGACTGTCGCTCTTCGACGTGGCCTCCAAGGAAGGCTCCGGCCACTGGGGCGTCTGTCTCCTGTGAGTACCCCAGTACCTCCGTCCCTGCCTCTCTACACACACTTCTCCGTACATATACACACACGCAACCTGTCCTCAGGTGGTATATGTGTGTGTACCTTCCTGGTAATCACTTCACACGTACTACCTAATTAATGCTTTTATGTACTATATATATATATCACATTCTGTGTGAAGATATATATTTACTGTTCGTGAATATTGATGACCACGGCTTAAATGATGTGATCATCGATACACGCGGTGAGGGAGGAGTGGCGACGATACTAACTTGTGTGTGTCGGGGTGGTGGCAGGACTGTGGGCCTGGCCATTGTGTTCTCCCAGCACATGAGGGACCTGAATGTGCCCTTCCCCATCTACAAGAGAGGCAAGGGCCTTTCCACCACTTACTGTCAGCCCTTCAAAACACTTTCCGTAAGTTGACTCGCTTCCATTGTTATAATATTAAGAATATACGAAACTGCAGATGGCCTATACGAGGCTGCTCATATTTATATCCATTCAGACTCATTCTTACATACAATATCTCTAATAAACATTTTTTTCTCAACAAAGGATGTGTTGTCCTCCGCAGCTGTTATTGGCTATCATCATATCGTGGGGATTATGCGCCCTTTTGACCAAGTATGACGTCCTGCCCGAGGGGTCTCCCGCCCGCACTGACAGGACCGGTGCCATGTTGGACACCACCCCTTGGCTCCGCTTCCCCTACCCTGGTGATATATCATTATCTCTCTCTCTTTACGAGCTATTCATGTCCGTGCCACGTCTCATGCCCGTGGCTTAATCTCTCTCTCTCTCTCTCTCTCTCTCTCTCTCTCTCTCTCTCTCTCTCTCTCTCTCTCTCTCTCTCTCTCTCTCTCTCTCTCTCTCTCTCTCTTTGTGCTGCCATAATAACCTAAACAATCAACTATACAAACTAGAACATGTACAACATTAATTTTTAATTGTACGAGAAGTCCCTATTATTGACGTCTTGCTCCTGTCGCTTATATAAGGTGATATCACATAGATATCAATATCTGCAAGACAATTATTTGGCCTGAATCGACTCTTTTTTTTATTGTAGGACAATGGGGCGTGCCCACGGTGAGTGTGGTGGGCACGGTGGGCATGCTGGCAGCGGTCTTCTCCTCCATCATAGAGAGCGTCGGGGACTACTACGCTTGTGCCAGGGTGGCAGGTGGGTCCTCATGGCAATTCGTATTTGGTTCGTATGTTGAGGGGTTGATCTGGAGCCTGTACAACGTGAAGGTCCTGATCCACCAACCGGGCCAGGATGCCCACAGTAATGAGAGGATGAGAAGCTTGCTAACTGCGTGCTAGTTAGTGTGGGTTTGGAAATCTCCTACCAGTACTTCACAAGTGTCTATCTACCGGCAAACACAACGTAATTTTGACTATTGTTACTTTGATTTAACGTTGCAACAAGGTAATAACGCCAAGAAAACGTTGTGTTTACTTTGCGTGTAATTACCTAAGTGTAGTTACAGGATGAGAGCAACGCTCGTGGTGTCCCGTCTTCCCAGCACTCTTTGTCATATAACGCTTTGAAACTACTGACGGTCTTGGCCTCCACCACCTTCTCACCTAACTTGTTCCAACCGTCTACCACTGTTTGCGAAAGTGAATTTTCTTATATTTCTTCGGCATCTGTATTTAGCTAGTTTAAATCTATGACCTCTTGTTCTTGAAGTTCCAGGTCTCAGGAATTCTTCCCTATCGATTTTATTAATTCCTGTTACTATTTTGTACGTAGTGATCATATCACCTCTTTTTCTTCTGTCTTCTAGTTTTGGCATATTTAATGCCTCTAACCTCTCCTCGTAGCTTTTGTCCTTCAGTTCTGAGAGCCATTTAGTAGCATGTCGTTGCACCTTTTCCAGTTTGTTGATGTGCTTCTTAAGATATGGACACCACACAACCGCTGCATATTCTAGCTTTGGCCTAACAAAAGTCGTGAACAATTTCTTTAGTATATCGCCATCCTGTGGAAAAAAAGAGAAAATTCAGGAATAAAAAAAGGTTCTTTTTAAATCTAGGATTATTTCTGTGTAATCTAGGCCCAAGATAATCAAACCTAGGCCAAAGCTGTTATGATCCTGGCCGGGGAGGATTTACTGGGCGCAATTCCTTAACTGTAGCCTCTGTTTAACGCAACAGTAAAATGTGTACTTGGATGAAAAAACGATTCTTCGCGGCAGGGGATCGTATTCCAGGGACCATAGGATTAAGGACTTGCCCGAAACGCTACGCGTACTAGTGGCTGTACAAGAATGTAACAACTCTTGTATATATCTCAAAAAAAAAAATGATAGGCCTAGATTACTCTATAATTGGTTAGGTTTGGATTTTTATCCTCTTGCCTTAAATTTAAATTTCCAATTTTTCAGTTTCCATATTTACTGTACCGTAAATATGAGAATATCACAGATAACGTGAGGATGTGTTTAATAGCAATAGCACCTCTAGTAATCCTGGGAGAGATAAACACGTGTATAAACACCTGACAGGTGCGCCGCTGCCGCCAACACACGCCATCAACCGGGGCATAGGCGTGGAGGGCATTGGCTGCATGATGGCCGGTCTGTGGGGCACGGGCAGCGGCACCACCTCCTACTCCGGCAACATCGGCGTCCTCTCCATCACCAAGGTCGGTTACTCTAACAGTCACCATTTTGGGTGACTACATTCAAACAGTATTTTGCTTCTTGTTGTTTTAGAGTCAGCTACTCAGAACAACATTTTCATGTAGCGCGGGCTATAGTGAGCCAGTAATGTATTTTTTTATGGTTCTTGAATAGAGTTTGGTCACAGCAGTCGGATGTTAGAAATGGTGTTATGGTGTCAGGCGGGCCGTAGTGGCATGGAGACCTTGTGTGAGGCCTGGAGCTCAGAGCACACAGCTTGAGCTCCAGGCGTCACACATGGTCTCCATGCCACTGGAGGGGAGAGCTTGAGCAAGGCCAAGGGAAGAGAACTTTAACGTGGGCGGGAGTGACTGTTCCTGAGCGAGGCTTGTAGTGTCTAGTTAGTTAGGTTAGTCATATAGTGTTCACCCCCCCCCCTTACCCATCCCATGGGTGGAAAGGGTTAGAGGCACACAATGGGTTCAGGAACTGAACCTCACACCTCCTTTAGCTAAGAAAGTAACACTCTTGTGAAGCTGGTTATACATTTTTTAATACACACGTACACTAACATAATATTATAGGGGTCGTTTTCGACTCACAATTGAGAATTCTGGGTTCGAATCCCGGCCGGGACAGAAATGGTTGGGCGCCTTTCCCATCACCTAATGCCCCTGTCCACCAATAAGTAAATTGGTACCCAGAAGTTATCAGCTTGTTGTGGGATTGCATCCTGTGAGGTCAGTAGTTCGACCTATGGGGAGGGGGGGGGGGGGGAAGGTGAGCACCTTGATATAAACCTAAAGTATATATATACACAGGTTTCCTGTCCCCCGACAAAACGAATTATTAAATGTAAGCACCGGAAAATGGGGTATACCTCTGGGTGTGTATATCCGCTCTAACCTGCCCTCTTACAAATAACGTCTTAATTTGGTCATTTGCCCGTATGGCTGAAAATGAACGTAATTTGAAAATGAAAAATAATTGAAAATATATTTTTGGATGATTTTTTCCCAAAACAGTACGTTAAGGGTCCTCTGGCAGGTTAGGAGGGTAGCAAGTCCTAAAGTTTCAAAACGTCATGAAAACCGTTAACTGAAAGTTTCCTCTCCTAACCTAACCGAGTAAGCCGGAGGACTCCAAACAGAAAACCAGCCCCTCCTCCAAATAGACAGAACGTTTTAATACTAAATGTAATAAGTACAATCCTGACTATCGGCATAGTACATAAATACACATAGCCAGCATCGCACCAAAATATTGTGAATATTAGAGTTTACTTGAAAAGCTGTATAGAAAACCACGACCTAACCTAACCTAAGTGTAGGAAGACGAGCATGTAAATAGCATTTATTGCTTTGTAATTACAATTAGTACTTAACCTATAGCTATATTGATATTACAATTTTATAAAACTAGTAAAAAACTAGTCTTTCAATAAATTATAAAATAACTCAGGATATTTTCAAATTTTGTATAAAATCTCTATTGTTTAATAAAACTGAAAAAGAAATTCCTTATATTTAAAACTTCGTACATATCTAGCTTTGAACACTAAAACTTCAACCTAAAAATTTGAGTATATTAACAGTAAATGTAACAGCACAATTAAGTGCATTTATGTACTCTTCAGACAGTCAGGAATGTACTTATTATATTTATTAAAACGTACTGTCTATTCGAAGGAAGGGTCGGACAGTACATCATTTTCGTGAGCCGTATTATTTCAAATTACATCCATTTTTGGCCGTACGGCGGATACGAGCGAAAAGTGCCGTAATTTTAAGAGGACGGGTTTATACGGGCCTAGTTTCCTCAACAACATACTATAGTCATGTGTGCCGAAGATTGGTCAATATGTTGATCACTTCCCACTAGGTTATTAATTACCCTGGCAAGTGGGGCTAATAAGTTTCATACAAGAGATTATCGTCACTCAACGTGTTAATGTTTGAGGTTTTGTCTCCGTGTCACCTGCTTAGCTTGAAGAGGGGCTGTGGCATGGGGCTTATTGTACATGCAGCTGCATGTACAATAGCAGCAGATGGCCAGATTAAAGATCTGGCCATCTGCTGCTGCTGCTAACATTGACCCCTGGCCATCTGCTGCTGCAGCTAACATTGACCGTGGTTCCTGTGTAAACCATGTGTGTAATAATTAATTAAGAGTGACAATATGCAGATGGGGAGGCGGCGTGTTGGTGGTGTCCGGTGGTGATGATGATGGTGGTGGTGTGTGGTGCAGGTGGGGAGCCGGCGTGTGGTCCAGTACAGCGGGATCATCATGGTGGTGTGTGGTGTGGTGGCCAAGGTGGGCGCCATGTTCGTCACTATCCCTGGACCCGTCATCGGCGGCATCTTCATCATAAAGTTCTCCATGATTACCGCCGTCGGCATCTCCACCCTCCAGCACGTCGACCTCACCTCCTCCAGGAACCTCTTCGTCCTCGGCTTCTCCATATTCTTCGGCCTCTCTCTGCCTAAGGTGAGCTGCGCAGGAAGTGATGAACGAACGGTTGCTTGTTGTTTAAGGCGCCACTAAGGTACACGGATTGTAACCCTAATTAGGGTTAACCAGACCACACACTAGAAAGTGAAGGGACGACGACGTTTCGGTCCGTCCTGGACCATTCTCATCGACTTGAGAATGGGACCGAAACGTCGTCGTCCCTCCACTTTCTAGTGTGTGGTCTGGTCAACATGCTTCAGCCACGTTATTGTGACTCATCGCCTGCCTAATTAGGGTGAGTTAGGGTCATCCACATATACACACACATTGGGTTTGGGGTGACCAATACACGTTTTGGGTTGGCTTAGGTTAGGTTTGGTTGGGTTAGCTTTTTGGGTTAGATTAGGTTGGGTTGGGTTAGGTTAGGCTGGGATGGGTTTGGTTAGCTTATGTTGGGTTGGGTTAGTTTTCTTAATAAAATAGCAAAGGGTGCATAATCGAATATGGTGCCTCAATGTGTTTAAATATTACTTTTGGATCCTATCCTATTCTTTGGGAGCCTATTCTATACTTATGAAGCCTATCCTATACTTTTGGAGCCTATCCTATACTTTTGGGGCCTATCCTATACTTTTGGAGCCTATCCTATACTTTTGAAGCCTATCCTATCCAATGGCCGTAAAGGTAGGTCGTGTAGTGGACTCAGGCAACAGGCGTATTGATCTTTAATCTCAGTAACTTACACTTACGGTGAAGTATTTACTGTCTGTTCCCCCCTCACCGTTGTGAAGATGTTACAGGGACTGTTGTAATGGGTGTAGTGTGCGTGGCATTGTGGTCACGAGACTTGGGACTCTGCAAGCATACACACAGTAGATAGTAAGCTGGCAGCTTGATACCAGGTTTGGTGAGAGCTTTGGCCACACCTGCAGCACTAGAGAGTAAGCTGACAGAGCTTGATACTGGGATTAGTGAGAGTTTTGGCCTTAATTAATATAATGTGACGGTGTTGACAGTGGTTGGAGATGAACCCGTCCGCCATCAAGACCGGGGAGCCGCTGCTGGACCAGACCCTGCTGGTCCTCCTCCACACTCCCATGTTCCTCGGTGGTCTCCTGGGGCTCATCCTCGACAACACCGTCCCAGGTCTGTGCTCCCTCACTCTCCACTCTTGTACTGTAGGTCCAGGCTCACATTCACACTGTAGGTCCAGACTAACAGTACACACTGTAGCCTCAAGTCAACACTTCATACTACTGTAGGTCCAGGCCAACAGTATACACTGTAGGCTCAGTTTAAGCCTGGGGAGACTCACTATATTCCTGGTGCAGGTACGGACGAGGAGCGAGGTGTAGCCAGGTGGCGGGGGCAGGGTGTCAACACAGAGGAGCAGCAGCTGGAGGAGACCAGGCTCACAGCTTCCTGTTACCAGCTTCCCTTCGGAACCTCCACCATCAACAAGTTAGTTCTGTGGTGGTTGCAAGTGTGTGGTGGTAGCAGCCAGTGTGTGGTGGTAGCCAGTGTGTGGTGGTAGCAGCCAGTGTGTGGTGGTAGCCAGTGTGTGGTGGTAGCAGCCAGTGTGTGGTGGTAGTAGCCAGTGTGTGGTGGTAGCAGGCCGTGTGTGGTGGTAGCCAGTGTGTGGTGGTAGCAGGCCGTGTGTGGTGGTAGCCAGTGTGTGGTGGTAGCAGGCCGTGTGTGGTGGTAGCCAGTGCGTGGTGGTAGCAGCCAGTGTGTGGTGGTAGCAGGCCGTGTGTGGTGGTAGCCAGTGTGTGGTGGTAGCAGCCAATGTGTGATGGTAGCCAGTGTGTGGTGGTAGCCAGTGTGTGGTGGTAGCCAGTGTGTGGTGGTAGCAGCCAGTGTGTGGTGGTAGCCAGTGTGTGGTGGTAGTAAGTGTGTGGTGGTAGCCAGTGTGTGGTGGTAGCAGGCCGTGTGTGGTGGTAGCAGCCAATGTGTGATGGTAGCCAGTGTGTGGTGGTAGCCAGTGTGTGGTGGTAGCCAGTGTGTGGTGGTAGCAGCCAGTGTGTGGTGGTAGCAGGCCGTGTGTGGTGGTAGCAGCCAATGTGTGATGGTAGCCAGTGTGTGGTGGTAGCCAGTGTGTGGTGGTAGCCAGTGTGTGGTGGTAGCAGCCAGTGTGTGGTGGTAGCCAGTGTGTGGTGGTAGTAAGTGTGTGGTGGTAGCCAGTGTGTGGTGGTAGCAGCCAGTGTGTGTGGTGGTAGTAAGTGTGTGGTGGTAGCCAGTGTGTGGTGGTAGCAGGCAGTGTGTGGTGGTAGTAAGTGTGTGGTGGTAGCCAGTGTGTGGTGGTAGCAGGCAGTGTGTGGTGGTAGCAGGCAGTGTGTGGTGGTAGCAGGCCGTGTGTGGTGGTAGTAGCCAGTGTGTGGTGTTAGCAGGCAGTGTGTGGTGGTAGCCAGTGTGTGGTGGTAGCAGGCCGTGTGTGGTGGTAGCAGCCAATGTGTGATGGTAGCCAGTGTGTGGTGGTAGCAGGCAGTGTGTGGTGGTAGCCAGTGTGTGGTGGTAGCAGGCAGTGTGTGGTGGTAGCCAGTGCGTGGTGGTAGCAGCCAGTGTGTGGTGGTAGCCAGTGTGTGGTGGTAGCAGCCAGTGTGTGTGGTGGTAGTAAGTGTGTGGTGGTAGCCAGTGTGTTGTGGTAGCAGCCAGTGTGTGGTGGTAGCCAGTGTGTGGTGGTAGTAGCCAGTGTGTGGTGGTAGCCAGTGCGTGGTGGTAGTAGCCAGTGTGTGGTGGTAGCCAGTGTGTGGTGGTAGTAGCCAGTGTGTGGTGGTAGCCAGTGTGTGGTGGTAGTAGCCAGTGTGTGGTGGTAGCCAGTGTGTGGTGGTAGCCAGTGTGTGGTGGTAGCAGCCAGTGTGTGGTGGTAGCAGCCAGTGTGTGGTGGTAGCCAGTGTGTGGTGGTAGCCAGTGTGTGGTGGTAGCAGGCAGTGTGTGGTGGTAGCCAGTGTGTGGTGGTAGCAGGCAGTGTGTGGTGGTAGCAGGCAGTGTGTGGTGGTCACTCTACCTTGTAACAATATGTTATTTATAAAAACATGTTTCCTTACCTTCCAGAGCCAAATGGATGAGACACGTTCCCTTCTGCCCGACCTTCTCGGGCTTCTCCAGCTGGACGGCCATGACGGAGAGACTGAAGAAGTCGCTGTGTCAGTGCTAAGAGCTGCAGCAGTGACTGGTACCATCACTGGAGGATGCTCCTACTAGCAGCAGTGACTGGTACCATCACTGGAGGATGCTCCTACTAGCAGCAGTGACTGGTACCATCACTGGAGGATGCTCCTACTAGCAGCAGTGACTGGTACCATCACTGGAGGATGCTCCTACTAGCAGCAGTGACTGGTACCGTCACTGGAGGATGCTCCTACTAGCAGCAGTGACTGGTACCGTCACTGGAGGATGCCCCTACTAGCAGCAGTGACTGGTACCATCAGTGATATGTTGTTGGTATGCTGATATATAATTGCTCTTGTTAGTGATGGAACTACATTCTCTCCCAACTCTCTCTTTAAGACTTCTGTAGTTGCCTTCCCCTTATGGTGTAGGTACCTTCTGGTCTCCTGTCTACCTTTCCCGTCTTCATTACCTTACACTTGCTGGGATTAAATTCTAGCAACCATTTATTTGACCACTCCTGTAGTTTGTGAAGGTCATCCTATAACTTTCTGCAGTCCTCGGGTTTTTACATTCTCCATTAGCTTTGCGTCTTCTGCGAATACTGACATGAATGCGTGCTCTCCCTCAGGTAGGTCATTCACATAAATTATGAACAGCAGAGGTCCTTGGCCCGATCTTTGGGGTACTATTCCTCCAACTCGAGACATCGTCTCTGACTGTGACTCTGTTTTGTCTTTGCCCTGTTAACTCTTTTTCCCGTAATCTCAGCGTGCTTCACCGTCTTGCTCACCAGCCTTTCATGAGTAACAGTAACAAATGCTTTTTGATAGTCTAGGAGAACACCCAGCCTTCTTTTTCCTGTCTTATTTTAGTAACTATCATAGAACGCTATCAAGTTTGTTAGACACGACTTTTCCTTTGTAAATTTATGCTGCAACTTTCTGTAACGTTTATCTTCTCCGAACATTCAGTCATTCTCAGTTATTTTTCCAGCAATTTACACAGAATTTACACATTTACAGTCAAGTGATACTGATATGTGGTTTAGTACCTCCTGTCTCTCCCATTTTTTGAATACTGGGACTACGCTATCTTCTTTCTAAAATACTGGAAGTTTCCAGTCTCAAGAGTTTTAATTAAAAATGTAGTCAGCGGGTGACAAAGTGCCTGTGCAGCCTCCTTCAACAACCAAACAACCGTGGTGATGTTAGGTCTTGTCTTATTAATTTTGTTGCAGCTAATTCTTCCAGATGTTTGTTTAACCTCCCTTACATTGACTACAATGTCGTCCAGTGTTACCTCCAACCATTCATCTGGCCAACCTGGTCTCCATTCTGGCTCTTTTGCGAAGCCCTCCTGAAATCTTCTGTTGAGTTCTTCACATACCTCCTTGTCGTTTTCTGTGACTGTTCCACCGTGTTAGGTGGGGTGTGTGTGGTGTGGACCTCTGGTAACGTGTAGTATGGTACATGCCATCTGGTACTAAATATAGTGTTAACTAAATACTAAACGTTTATTTATTTATTTATATACAAGACGGTACATTGGGTTTGTGAGAATACATTGCATAGTATTTACAATCTTGTAAAGCCACTAATACGCGCAGCGTTTCGGGCAGGTCCTTAATCTAACAGATAATTTTAAGTTGGTAAATTCTAGCAGAATTAATAAAATGATAACAGATACATTGCAAGAAAAAAAATGAGATGAGAGAGATTAGTAAGTATATTAAAGCACATTGGTATATTAAAGCCCTGATTGATTACATTGACAGCTTGATTGGCAATTTAAACAAGATTACTAGGCACCATACAGCAGATTGACAGCACATATAAGAAGACAGCAATGATCACAATGGTAAAGATATTCGGATTGGGTACATAAAGATTGGGAGATTGGGTAGCAATAGATACAGTGCAATTTTAAAGTGTTAACATCTTTTGTGTTAACATCAGCAATAAAACTGATGGGAAGTTCCTTGGCCTATACTTAGTCAAGAGACTCAATTTTAGCACCCACATACAACACATAACTAAGAAAATCTCAAAAACGGTTGGTATACTCTCTAAAATCAGATATTATGGTCTAAACTCTGCTCTCCTCTCACTATACTACGCGCTAATCTATCGATCCCTCTCTTACTTATGGTATCTGGGTATGGGGTTCAACCACTGCAAACTACGTTAAGCCCATCATCACCCAGCAAAAATCTGCTATCAGAACAATAACAAACTCGGCTTTCAGACAACACTCAGCTCCTTTGTTTAAATCCCTAAACATGCTAAACATAAACTCACTGCATACATTCTCTTGTGTCATTTACATTTACAAATCCCTGTTCTTAAATGCAAACCCTGTTCTAAAACTCTTCCTGGACACACGTAATAGAACCCATAATCATCACACCAGAAATAAATATCTCTTTGATATCCCCAGAGTCAAACTTAATCTGTGTAAACACTATGCAAATAAAGGGACCTTGTCTATTCAGTGCTTTAAACCCGCACTGTATCTAGCGCTGCTCAATCCCCCAATATATGTACCTAAACCATACAATCTTTACCTTTGTTATCATTGCTATCACCTTATATCATGGTTGTTATATTGAGTGCCTATTTACCTGCATTATTCCTTTAAATGATCCTCAAATTTGATTTGATTTGAAAAATTGTGCTACAATGAATCAGTTGATAACTATTTTATCCTAATGTACCTACTGATCTTTGTCATTATTGTGTTTTGTCTTTATTGTGTATTAATCTAATCTTTGTGTATTGTGGCAAATTTTCTTACAATGTACCTGTAAACATTTTTTGTCATTTTTGCTGGAAATTACCTACTTAAAATTACTTAAAATTATCTGTTGCCCAAAACGCTATGCGTGCTAGTGGCTTTACAAGAATGTAAAATCTTCATTGCTATGTACTCTTAACCCCCAATGTACCTTCTTGTATATAAATAAATAAATAAATGACATCTGGTAAGGTGTTGTGGTGTTTGAGCATTACTCTGGCTAGCGTCGACATCAACACATTTGACCGCCGCGGATTAAGCGTAAAAATAAAATCACCTCGTGCCTGATGTATACTCAAGAGATTCATCTGTCAGGACATTATATAAGTGTCTGTGATGGACGTCTCTCCCTGCTAATATAATCCTGCAGCACAGTGTGGACGCACGCTTGTCTCACGTCCAGGAAGCTCACTTTCTTGTCCTCGCCTCAGTTTTGGGAGGATAGTAACTACCCAATTACCATTTCTTCCTCGACTACACTCAAGAGAATTTCGTTTCGAAGTTCCCCATTCCCCCCCTCTCCCCCCCCCTCCCCCCACACACACGATCGAACTACTGACCCTCCCCTGGACGCAACCCCCACAACAGTCACAGCTCCAATAAGGCCACAGGTATCTGGCAGTTCGGCTTGTATAGGACTCCAGATGAAGTAAAGTGTAAAATGTGTGGACAAAGACAGGGACACACACTTGAGCATTATATCTTGGACTGTAATAAAATTAAACCATTTAGAGATAAATCTGAACTCATGCTGTATGATATGGTGAACCATCTTATTACCAAGGATAAAATACCTGAAATCCTTGCACTGTATCCATATTTCGCTCCCAGTAGATAAACGACATATGAGATTAAGAATCAGGTAATGTATTGTGAAGACTAATAATAACAAACAGCAGTTTCCCTATGTCCCTGTTATATCTCCATAGCTCAAGCAATTATGTATCAGCGACAAGACCTGCCATTAATGTATAATGAATAACTGGAAATACATAGGTATTGAAATGAAACATTCTCTGTTACTAGCTGGCATTATAATTATAAGGTGTGAAGGATAGATGAAATTGTTAATGTAATTATCTCCGTTGAGGTCTGATCAAGACATTTTGTGACTGTATTCCATCTATCATCATACTATCAAGCAAGAGGAGCCACACATCTATGGATCATCCAATAAAATCAGCAGACTTCTAGATGTTACTACTGCTCGGCTTAGACTCGGTTACAAGTATCTCTGGGAATTATCATTATCTGCCGATGTAGACCTGACCAAATGTAAACTGTGTCAACAAAATTATTCGCACACCCTCCGTCACTATGTGATGGGGTGCGCAAAGATAAGTGAATTTAGAGACAATTCTATAACCAATGTTCCAGCGATGTGTAAATATTTCATTCAAAATGATCTGCTACCAGAAATTTTAGCCAAATATCCCCAGTTTGCTAACTGTAGGTAGTAACTAAGTGATTGTAACCTATCCACCGCTGCCCACTGGATGGGGGGCGGTGTGCAGGACCAACATATAAATTGTGACACTAGCTCTCCACATACGTCAGTTGCTTAATTTAGAAACTGTACTTGTGGTCGATCTCGAACCCATTGTTGATATGACGACTTATACTGAATTTTGTAACTAGCTCATCAAGACTGTAACTTGCTTAGCTAAATGAATTGTGGTGTTCAGTCCCTGAGCCCATTATGTGCCTCTGTAACCCTTTCCACTACCGCCCACAAGATGGGTACATAATAAATGAACTAAACTAACTACTGCCCTCTGTAATCCTTCTTTGCGCTACCGCTCACTGAATGAGTATGGGGTGCACAATAAACCAGCCGCCTCCGGCGGCAACAATCAATCATAATAGTTGCCTAACTCCCTGAACTATATTTACTGTTTGGTGGACAGGGATTAGGTAAAAGGAAACGTGCCCAACCATTTTCATCCCATCCGGAATCTCCGATCGTACAATTGTACTATGAGCTTAGAAACTAATCTCAGCGTATTAGTGTTTAATTATAGTTAATTATTAATGCTTTACAGTTTACACACGAGACACATAAACTTAAGAGAGTGTGCATGGACTGTAATACTATATGGCTGACGTGTAGAGTTAAAGAAGCCAAATTATTTTAAATAAAGTGTGACATAACATAGTGCTTTTTAATGTAGATAAATGCAAGACTTTGCATGTGGGGCCTTGAGGTTATCTTGAGGTGATTTCGGGGCTTAGCGACCCCGCGGCCCGAGGCATAACCATCCACGTCACAATTACCAAATTGACAGCACTAGCTTACAACAGATAGATGAAGAAAAATACCTTGGAGTCAGAATCCATCATTCACTAAAAGTCGCACTAATGGGAGCGGTGGTAAAGACGCGAACCAAACCCTGGGAATAATCAAGCGTACCTTTACCTTCACGGAAAAGAAAGTAGTCGACGTTTAACTGTATAAGTCTCTGGTGCGCCACCATCTGGATTATTGCATCCAGGCATGGAGATCTAATATTCAGAAAGACATAGCTGCTCTGGAAAAGGTGCAGCACCGGACAACAAAAATCATACCTTTAGGGCCACTGGGCTAACAGCACTGCAAACCGTGCATGACAGGGCGGATCTCGTCAAAACCTTTTACATACTAAACAATTTGGAGGATGTCGATCCGGACAGTTTCTTCAAAAGGTCAGATATATCACAAACGAGCAACGGGTTTAAGCTCAACAAGCCACAAATGTAGGAAAGAATACAGGAGATGCTTTTTCATCCATAGGCCTGTAAACCCGTGGAACTGCCTACCCGCCGTAGCCGTAAACACCAAAACTCTGCTGGGTTTTATATTAAAAATCAGCTGGAGAAGATCATCAGGGCAAATGTGGGACCTTTGACAAGCCGCCGGCTTCCCGTCCTCATCGAAACCACTAGTATTAGTGGCCCACGGGTAAATATAACTACAGTTGGGGATAAATGTGACACCCCCCCCCCTCATCATACTGCCTGAGGCGCGAGGGGTGGGCGGGTTGAGAACTACAAAAGCGCTGCTCAGTATTGATTATACACAAAACTTTTTCCGCTCTGCCGGGCCCCTGAGTAGCAGGCCGGTAAACAGTGAGCAAAAAGTTTGGCCCGTCCCTTACGGCGGCCCGAGTACCTTGAGCATCCTGACCTAACATGACCTAACATGACCTTCTATACGAGCAATTAACGCGCTCATTCGTCACACACTTCAATAACGTCTTTTCCTCCTAAAATCTCCTACAAACGCAGTCCACGACCTTTTTTTAAGCTAGACCTATATATGATTCAAACCACATACGGAGGCTTCCTATATTACGAAATAATATATATAAATCTTCTCAAGTAATGTATATTAGAGAAAACGTGAAGGTTGCCACAGCCGCCAAGCGACCCACTACAACACCCTGACAGCACCTAAGGAAGCTTCGCCTGCAACTTCTTCACCAGCGTCTCCTTCAGCAGCAACTGCCACCTCCCCGACCCTCCCAGGGATCCCCCAAGCTGCTGCTCTTAGACAAAATGTATTATTCTTAAGGTTAAAGACTTTGAAAAGAGAAAGCCTCGTCATGGTCTTTTAAAAACGTTTCGAATCAATTGTTAGTATTGCTTTGAGTTACCTTACGAATATTTATGATTTTATACTAACACATCAGATTAATGAGTGTACTGGCATGTTTTGGGGGTTATTAATATATGTAGATAGAGAAATAATGCGAGGATTTTTGTTTTGGTCAGCGCCGCTGGAGGTCCGCCTTTCTCTTGTTAGTTCCCGCGTATTTCGTTTCAGCGTAGCAGACGATACCTGCTGCAGACCACTCACCTGACGATACCTGCTGCAGACCACTCACCTGACGATACCTGCTGCAGACCACTCACCTGACGATACCTGCTGCAGACCACTCACCTGACGATACCTGCTGCAGACCACTCGCCTGACGATACCTGCTGCAGACCACTCACCTGACGATACCTGCTGCAGACCACTCACCTGACGATACCTGCTGCAGACCACTCACCTGACGATACCTGCTGCAGACCACTCGCCTGACGATACCTGCTGCAGACCACTCACCTGACGATACCTGCTGCAGACCACTCACCTGACGATACCTGCTGCAGACCACTCACCTGACGATACCTGCTGCAGACCACTCACCTGACGATACCTGCTGCAGACCACTCGCCTGACGATACCTGCTGCAGACCACTCACCTGACGATACTTGCTGCAGACCACTTGCCTGACGATACCTGCTGCAGACCACTCTCCTGACGATACCTGCTGCAAACCACTCGCTTAACGATACCTGCTGCAAACCACTCACCTGACGATACCTGCTGCCGACCACTCGCCTGACGATACCTGCTGCCGACCACTCGCCTGACGATACCTGCTGCAGACCACTCGCCTGACGATACCTGCTGCAAACCACTCGCCTGACGATACCTGCTGCCGACCACTCACCTGACGATACCTGCTGCCGACCACTCGCCTGACGATACCTGCTGCCGACCACTCGCCTGACGATACCTGCTGCCGACCACTCGCCTGACGATACCTGCTGCCGACCACTCGCCTGACGATACCTGCTGCCGACCACTCGCCTGACGATACCTGCTGCCGACCACTCGCCTGACGATACCTGCTGCCGACCACTCGCCTGACGATACCTGCTGCAGACCACTCGCCTGACGATACCTGCTGCCGACCACTCGCCTGACGATACCTGCTGGAGACCACTCGCCTGACGATACCTGCTGCCGACCACTCGCCTGACGATACCTGCTGCCGACCACTCGCCTGACAATACCTGCTGCAGACCACTTACCCGACAATATCTGCTTCTCATCACTCGGCTGACGATAACTACTACACATATCTCCTGCATCAAGGTTTTCTCTGGTTATTGCTGTCATTACAGCACGTATAGTAAAGAAGACGACTGTGACCTTCAGTTGGTGAGCATGTTGTATGTTTTTCCCCTAAGCTTGTAGTTGTAGTGAGAAGCTGTTCAGCATGAGGTAGGTTCTCCTGTGTTGAAGTTTGTGTGGGTTAGAAGCTCATAATCTGTATAGTCTGCCCTTGGATTTATTAGCAGTTCTCTCTCTCTCCATCTCTTTCTCTCTGTCTCTCTTTGTTTATTGGCATCCCTTGGTCCATAGTATACCCTTTGGGTCACATTGTAGTCTTTGGTCCATGGTGTGGCCTCTAGTCCACAGTTGTAGCCTTTGGATTGCAGTGCAGCCTTTGGTTCAATTAAGTGAGCCGAAACGCATTGCGTAATAGTGGCTTTAGGCATTGTATGTACTAGCTCTATCTATATATCAATCCATTAATGTAACATCACTTGTATGTATATACCTTACCTGAATAAACATCTGAATCTGAATCTGAAGTGAATACAGTGCAGCCTTTGGTCTACAGTACAACCTTCGGTCAATAGTGTAACCTTTGGTCTATAGTGTAACCATTGGTCTATAGTGTAACCTTTGGTCTATAATGTAACCTTCGTTCTATAGTGTAATCTTCAGTCTGTAGTGTAACCTTTGGTCTGTAGTGTAAACTTCAGTCTGTAGTGTAACCTTCGGTCTGGGTGTAACCTTCGGTCTGGGTGTAACCTTCGATCTGTAGTGTAACCTTCGGTCTGGGTGTAACCTTCGATCTGTAGTGTAACCTTCGATCTGTAGTGTAACCTTCGGTCTGTAGTGTAACCTTCGATCTGTAGTGTAACCTTCGGTCTGTAGTGTAACCTTCGGTCTGTAGTGTAACCTTCGGCCTTCGGTCTACAGTGTAGCTTTTGGTTCATAGATTAACTGTCAGTCCACATTGGAGCCTTCAGACCATAGGGTAGCCTTTGGTCAGTGTAGCCTGTAGTTTGATGTAGCCTTTGGTTCAGTGTAGCCATTATACACAGTGTAGCCATTGGTTCACAACTGTCTCAGTTCAGCTTCAGAATATGTTTAAGCCATTAGTCTTCACAATTTTCCCAAATTGTGTAGGCCTAGAGCAAACATAGTCACAATCCCATAATTAGGCAACCATGTAATTATTAATGTATATTATACCTTCCTTTGTTTATATGCTATTAGATGACAAACTATACCTAAAACCTAAATAACCTAAAACCACAAACCTAATACACACAATACACAAACCTAATACAAACCTAATAATGACAAACCTAAATAACGTACAGTATCTAATTACTGGATGGTGAGCCTAATTGGTCTTTGGAGACGAGCATCCAGCTGTGTCAAAGGCTCATGTCATCAGTACAAGTGAGTGTTAATCCACAAACTGCACACTGTTTTTAGGGCCCTGTCTAGGAACACTCGAAAATTACTTTTTTTTTAATTATTTCTCATTTTTTATATCTCAAAGAACATTTATATTTGATGGTAGGGAAAAGATTCACATTACAGTACTGTATTTCAGTTTGGCTGTGAAGAAATGTTGTTGTTATCATATCCTGAAAATTAATTTTCAAGTACAGTGCTCAAAACTATTTGTAATAGATTTCTCATCACAAATCTCTTTCTGCCCATAAAAGTTTTTGAATTTTTGCATAGTGTCGATGTTTCCAAGCATAGGTGCAAGTAAATGGATGGTGATGCACCTAAAATGGTGCCAGTTTATTTAATAATGACCTGGAAGGGAGCTAAGGTTTTCAGAATTTTTTCCCGAATATGGAAAAAGATTTCCAGGGGTGTGGCATCGGTGTGGCAGTGTACAATGAAAACTACTTAGATTGTTTAGGAATTGTTTATATTAAATCATATTGTTCACAAATGACAGGAGCATCATGGCTCAGTTGTTTGAGAAAGACAAGAGCAGTTTAATGGACCTTAAGATCTAATATTACTGGACATAGTAGCAGTCTGTCAGTACTCTTTAGCGATGCTTTCATATTTTTGGTGATTTCTTTTTTGGCTAGCACCCCTTCTTGTCTGAACACTTATTCAGTGGCATGTTTCTTGGGAACCACTGACTGTTTGGTCTGATATTAATACAGCATGTATTATGATGAGTTTAGATTGTGCCAGTGGCATTTTTAATTGTTTGTGACAGTACTATACTGTACTTAATTTTGGTCTCAAATTGCCCTCCATGGCAAAAATGAATTTGTTTGGGATTTTGTATGCTGTAAAATGAGCCAATTTTGGTGTCTTCCTCTGTCTCATCCTACAGTTTAAGGACCATATATGTGCCTGAAACCCAAAGAGATCAAGTTAAATTTATAATTAAAAACTTTACGGTGAAAAGAATAAAAATTTTTAACATTAGTAAGAAGCATGCACTAAATCTTGGAAAAATGAATACTGTATAACAATTCAGTATTTATTTTAACAGATTTGTATTAGCTACATTTTATGCTGTATTTTTTGGAAGTATAGTATGGTACATTCAAAGGGTTACTGGCATTTTAATGGTTTCATTATATACACTGGTGCAGGCACTATATACTGTACTGTATATACACGGTATACTCTCCATTTCAATATTATCAAACAATGCTCATAGAATAATTCATAATTTATTGTGTAAGGGGACAGGCAACCAAAGTGTATTTATACAAGTTAGGCTTATATTGAGGTTGCCCCCTCCCCCCCCCCACCCCCAAGGTCAAATTACTGATCCCCCACAGGATGCAACCACACAACAAGCTGACTAACTCCCGGGTATCTATTTACTGCTAGGTGGACAGAGACATTATGTGATGGTAAATGTGCCCAACCATTTCTGTACCGCCTGGGATTTGAAACTGGAATTCTCGATTGTGAGTCGAGAACATACCAGACTGTACTACCGGGACCCTACTGGGAATAACACGCTGTACATTATGCCCAACAATTGTAAACTTTTTGGGTTTGCTGCTAGTAGAAGTCTTTTTTCATTGTAGGATGTTCAGTATTTTTAATGAAATATCAAAGGATGTTTGAAGAACACACTTCAATAACCATATGATATACAAGGATATAGCTAGATCGGTGTGGAGTTGCAGGTCGAATGTGTACGTGGGAGGCACTGTATTCGTGTAGCACCTGGGGAGTCTGGCTGCAGAAACTAGACTTTTTAATTGATGTTTGGTTCAAATAGGCAGAGGTTGATAACATAATTGGGGAAATGCCTAGTATCATAAATTGGCTGTACAGCATATATATATATATTGAAGAGTAAGGTGGTTACCAATATACTTTCCCTTCTGCATGACATTGAGGCCTTACATAGAGATCTTCATGAATTCCAGAAATGGTCAGATGATTGGCAAATGCCTTTCAGTGTTGGAAAGTGCATGATCTTGCCAGTAGAACATGGCAGTGCATATCATACCTATCATATCAACACATTCAGCAGATTGATGAAGAAAAGGACCTTGGAGTTTTGATCCACCAGTTATTGAAAGTTGTACAACATGTGAGAGCTGCAATAAAAAGAAAGCCAACCAAAACCCTAGGAATAATCAAACAAACCTTTGACTCCAAGGAAAAGTGGTTATTTAACTGTACAAATCTCTGGTGTACCCCCATTTAGGGGGCACATGAGAGATAGAACCTTCAAAACGACATACTGTATCTGCTTTGGAAAAAGTACAACACAATGACAAAAATAATCTCAGAACAAAATCATCGTTCATACTAGGAACAGTTGAGGGTCAGAGGACGAAGAGTACTGCAAACCAAATATGACAGGGCTGATCTCTTCAAAACCATTAAAATACTGAAGAAGTTTCAGGATGTTTTCCACACCACTTCTTTAAAAGGGCAAACAAGGGGTACTAACTTCAGTCTTAACAAGCCACAATGTAGGACAGCAAACAGATGCTATATCACTCATAGGGTTATCAACCCATGGAACGTCTACCCCATAAAGCTGTCGATGCCAAGACATTAGTGCATCTAAAAATACAGCTGGAAAAAATCCTCGGGAATAATAAGAGGAATGACTTTTGACATGCTGCTGGTTTCCTGTCCCCATCAAGACTGCTAGAGAATTGGTGGCCTTCGGGTAAATTCAGGTAAATGTGCATAGAGGTACAGTATATCTAAGGCCTTTTGTTTTCAGGATGTAATGTTATAAATATCTCCTGATGATACAGTATACTGTATTCTTAACCTATGAATTGTCAAGATTTCCTTTTTCATACTTGTAACTCTCAGGTTACTTGCTTTTGTCTCACAAAGGTAGTTGTTCTGTTCTGCCTTGTTATTAACTCTGCATGGTGATGAACTCTTATAACTGATACTGTTTTATGTACTTCGGGGCTATTCCATGGAAATTATCACAGCTCCCAACCCAAGAATTACATGAAATTTGGTGGGGTGTTAGAGTACATGAAGTAACATACATATGCAAAATTTTAGCCCTCAGTGATGCATGATATTCAAACATCATAACTTTGGTTCTAATTGAGGTACAGTACAGTACAACATTTTGGGCATGTTTTGAAGCTAATAAAACATTGTTTTCATTAAAATGGTTTTACATTAAATATTGATTTTTTTCATTTCAAGATCACATGACATGACATTTGACCTTTTAACACTTTCGCTGCCTGACGACGTGTATTCCATGATAAAACCAAAATACAGAGTATACCCGATAATGCAAATTGCATCAAAAATAATTTTTTTTTTAAATTCTATTTATTGTCCAAATACTTTGGGACTTGTTTTAAAATGTTCGCCAACTTCTCGCCAGCAACTGCCTATTCTCCGTATACCCGTAGGCTCGCTGTTCAAGAACAGAGCCAATCCAATCCAATCCATTGAAAGAAACACGTATGAGGGGAAAAGTTATCGAGTTTTTGTCGAAAGTATAGAAAAGCGATGCTTATTTGTTCTTATATACGAATATCCCTTTACATCATTCTATTGCGAACAGCTTGATACCAAATTGAATGGTGTAGCATGGAAATTGAGGTAGAAAGGTAAAAAGAGTATAAACATTTGTGGGTGGT